CGCATTAATAGTCCATCGATGCAGACCGCCACCATTCACGTCGGAAAGGATTACCATTGACTCCATGGTACGCTCCGATTCGTTATCCTCCATTCTTACGGCCATTGTTGGTTTTCTCTGGATTTCTGCAAGGCAATACCCTTCAGGAGGCGGAACCAAAGAGCTTTGTTCTGCTTTTTCCACTTCGATCCATTCTTTTCCTCTAGAAACGTTGTCGTACTCATCTTCCCCGCATCCGCCGAACATGTTGGGGCCTTCTGTACGTTCTTCACCGAGTGCTTCATTGCTCAGGGCGGATTCTTCTTCTTTCCGTTCCTCAAAATGAGGACTTGCCGGCGGGAACAATTTCACAATATTTACTTCTAAGCAGGGAATCTGCTTTAGTTGAAAAGCATCATGTTCTATTCTTAAATTTTCCACTTTTTTAGACAGGTCATCTCTCTCAGCTTCCAAGATTTGCCGCGCTCTTTCCGAGCTAGCCAAATTTTCATTGACTTTCTCTAACTTCGTTTTCAGATGTCGCACTTGATTTTTCTGAACACGATGTTTTTCTTCGAATTGTTCATCTTTGTCCCGCAGGTTTTCTTCAGATTTGGCGAGCAGATATTTTTGGTGGGCCTTCGCATTTTTCAATATCATTTCACTTTTTTCCACTTCGATTATTAGTTGCGAACGCAATTCGATTGCTTGTCCCTGCAGCCATTGTAAATTATGTTCATAGGCTTGCATTTGTTCGTGCAAACCATCTTCTAATTCTCTGTCGTAATCTTCCTTTGTTTCGACATAGCTAAGTTGTCTGTTTTCTTCCACTTGCTCTTCCCAAGTTAAATGGTCATATTTTTCAGCGAGAGTATCCATCGTGATGGAGGTTTCATCGAATCTTCGATTTCTTCATCGATGTCCAAGTCTGTGTAATTGCGACTGCGGGTTGCTAAAAGCTTCATTGCCGATAACATACACATATCCACATCACAGGGTAATGTCTTCAAGTACCGTCGTAACTGGTAATATGTATTTTCTACCAGTACCTTCCATGCCGCGACGTGTTTCACCTTTTCAAAGGCTGATGTCGAAGTTAATAACTGGAAATAGTCTACCAAAGTGGTAATATCTTCTTCCATTACTTTATACATTTTTAATTTAAATGTTTTAGATGAGACTATTTGTCCTCTTTTAAAAACTTTTTTATATTGCCTTCTTGGCTTTTTTCGATTTTTTAATTTTTTCAGTTGGGACTTTTAATGTCCTCTTTTCAAAATTGTATATTTTTATGTGGGACTGTTGTTGTCCTCTTTTTGTTATGTTTTTTTTTTTAATTTTGCCCCGTGGGTCTTTTTTATTTTGCCCCTGTGGCGTATTTTTTTTTTGTGATTTTTGCCCTTTGGGTCTTTTTTGAAATATGTATATATTTTTTTTAAATTCTGCCTCTATGGCTTTTTTATTTTTGCACTATGGCTTTTTCTGTTAATGTTGTCCCTTCGACTATATTTTAAAATGCCCTACGGTCTTACACTTAAAATGTTTCGGATGACTTTTGTTTTGTAGCTGTTCTCCTCTTTTTTTAAGAATAGCTACTTCCTTTTTGGTTCTTTTAAGTTTCTTACCACTGGTGGGGGATAACTCAAACCAATTTTATTTAAGGTCGTCGATTCTTTATTTTTCGAAGGACCAATGAATGAGAAAAGAAACACGACCGATTAGTTTGGTTGCTATTTCAATTCTGATTTTATTTCTAAAATATGTTTCTTAAGTGCTACTGAAACTAATCTAACTTAACCTAGTCGCAGCCACACAATTGTTCTTATCTATTCTAATATTGAATGGAGAACATTGCAGGGCTGCTTGACATCTCATTCAAGTGATCTTATGCATCTACTGAGCGCATCGATATATGTGCGTGTGGGTCATAACCTATATTATCTCTCACATTATCGTATGCGTCAGCGCACAAGATCACCGAATTCTTCACATGTGATATTTTATGGCGGCTGGGAAATATTTAATTTTAGAACATTTATCTTTTATTGCTACATTTTCCCAGCGCCTCAATCCCACTCAAAAGTATGTACAAAGTATTTTGTACAGGTAATGTTTCTTGAAATGTTGAAAAATAAAGTGCTTTGAATTGATTTGCAATATCAGTACTGTTTGTTATAAGGTCGTTGTTTTGTTGCAATTTATGATAAAATGTGTGTTTGGTTTTGCCTGTAGGTCTTATGTCTTTAAGTTTATTGCTGAAATTCTGAGCGAATTCAATACGTGTAAGCTCTTTTAAAATAGTTTTTAAAGTTTGAATCTGCTTAGAGAGTAGTAAGTACTCAGGACTAACTCTGTTTCCAGTGCGATGGAAGATCTTCTTCAAATCTTTTTGCGATTGGTGTTTGATAGCTAGTACACGTTGGACTTTGTCGGAAAATGGTTGTTTACCTTCCTTCACTAGTATTTTCTGAGAGTGTTGAGCATGAATTCGAATAAATTCGGTGTTAAAATTACCTATTAAAGCATCTATCTCATAATTTTCAATACTTCTGTTTGATGTGAAGTGTTGAGGTTGTTTTAAAACAAGGTTCGAACTATCAAGATTATGGACGAGTTTAATTGGGAAATGATCTGAAAACGTTGCAATGGTGTAGGTGTTGAAGTTGGGGTTACTCATATTTAGTAAATGTCCGTTTGGATACGATGGCGCAGAATCACAAAGGCGTGTGACTTCTAAAGTGTTATCATCCAGCCAGGATCGTAGTACTCTTCCATTAGAGTTATCTTGTAAGTCACCCCAGTAGTGGAATTCTCTAATAATTTTTTCTATCGAATCGGTATCGTTCAATACCGAATAATGTCGGTTGAGATACCGATTGTGTTATTCTATAAATACAAGTAACCGACGGAAAAAATCGATAGCATTTACCGACGAATATCGATGGAATGACAAGTGTCAAAAAAATATATGTCAAATTCTTATTTGAAAATGGATAACATGTAAGTATAACAAAAAAAAATAATTTTATTTTCTAACAATTTTACTGTTTTTAGGAAAAAAAACACGATGTCCCAGGGCAAGCATGGCGCAACACGCAGCGCTGCTCAATTTTCTGGAGTCAGAGAAGGGTTTGGCCGAGGGAAAGTTTGTGGCTATGCATGGGAAGGAAAGTGCAAGAAAAAAGTGGTTAGAAATTGCTGAAGAACTAAATAAAATCCTTGGAGCGGTAAAAGCTCCAGAACAGTGGCAAACGGTAAGTTTAATATTTTCTTTACGCTTCCTATTTAAAAAAAATTATTATTTTTTTAGGTTTGGCGCGACCTCAAGTCTAAAACCTCATCAAAATTTAAGACCTTAAAAAGGGAAAGAAATGCCACTGGTAATATGCCGCTTACAAAGGGATTCCTCAACCCTATCGAGGAGAGAGTAGTAGCCATAGTTGGATGGGAATACATGATGGGTAACATAGAATGTCCTGACAGTCTGGAAATTGAAGTGGTATGGTTTCAGTACATAAAATGTTATTTTATTCAATACATACATGGCACTGTATTCCAGGAAAATAATCTTAACGCATTAATAAATGAAGACACAAGCCAACATGATATAAACACCAACATGATATAAACATGAGGTGCAAGTCTTGGAGGATGAGATTGACGCATTACAAAATCACACTTCTTTCAAACATAGCACACAAGAAATCGACAAATCCTCGTATAATAAACGTCTGAAGAAAGACAGCAACAACAAGGAAGAGTTTTTGAAAATAGCCAAAACACGAGCTGAAGCATTATTGGTAATGCTTTCAGTAGCTTTCCTAAAATATGTTAATTTCTTATAGTTGGCATCTTATATTCGTGCCTTCGAAATTCTTACTTAAAATATCATTTCTATTTTGATTCATATCATATTGTTTCTGTATTTCTTTTAGATCCTTGCCAATGCCCAAAAGGAAACTGCACAGGCAATGGTTAAAATATTGGAAAACTTTGCGTTTCTTGGTGAAATTTTAGCGGCTCAAAATAGAATTGAAAATTGTGTCAATATTATCGATCGGCGCTTAACAAATAATGAGAAATAAGTGCATAGCAACCTATGCATATTTTACGATTTTATATACTGTAACAATTTTTCTATTATAAAATTATTTTATGTGCTTAAGATACTATGTACATGTGTAAATATCAGAAATGTAAAAAAATAATTTTAAATAAAGTCCTGCCAAAATAACGTTTTGGTTTTTTGTTTAAATTTATCTATATATAAAACATTTTAGTTATAAGGATACTGACGGATTCATTAACGCCCAGGCAAAACGGGTGAAGCTAGAATCTTCAAACTTTGGTCAATGTTGGTTTGTAGGTGTGAGATAAGACTAGGTTTTTCGAAATTGGGAATTTTAAATATTTGTTTTGCACAAACGGATAGAGCTGTACTTCTGAAATTGGTTATAAATGATCTATGATGAGGTGGAGGATAGATGTACCAAAGGTTTTTTGGAAAATCGAACTACAATACACTCATAGTATGAAAAGCATTAAATTCTGTACCATTTGGCATTTGTATGCGAACGGATAGTGCAAATATATCGACATTTGGGATAAGAATTATGTTTGGTAGGTAGGGTTGGTATAAGGAGAAAGTACTGAATGGTACTAACTTCGATATTGCTTGAACGGATAGTGCTTTAAATTGGACTTTAAGGTGACTGTTAATGTGTAAGATTTGAGTTGGTTTTGGAAATACGTGCTAGAAACAACGAAAAGTACTCAATAGGTATAGAGTGTAGGAATAGAGCTGGAATTATGAATTTTGATATGATAATAGTACTGAATGATACTAAATTTCATATTAAATTTTGTGTACCTTGAACACAAAAGATAAAATACCCTTTTGCGAGAAAATCAAAACTGTGTATTATTTAAAGTTTTAAAGAGTCAGTTAAACTCCTTTTTAATATATATTTCATGGAATTTATGAAAAATATTGTGTTATAATTTGATTCTGAATTCGGCGAGCTACCGATAATAGGAACCGGCCCTCTGTTTCATATTCCCCGTCATTTATTATAGGCTCATATTGAAAAACATTGTCTTGAACAGGCTCCCTATATTGGCACTTCATGTTGTGTAAGACTGTAGACGCACACACCCTGTGACGAGAAAGGCACCTCCATGTATTTTTCATAACACCGAATGCCCTTTCAATACCGTTTCTAGTTTTGCACAAAACTTCATTATATGCAAACCTAGAAGTGCCGGGCGTCTCATTGGGTAAAGAGTTCATTAGCCATGGCTCTAACGGATAACCCATGTCGCCTAAAATATTCTTCATCATATTCATATTAAGTACTCATGGTTGCATTCATTCATACAATAAAAAAGTTCTCCTTTCACCATGATTAAACGCATTTTCCAGCAATGTTCTAGCAGGCCTAGAACCCCAAATGAAGCTGTCGTGTCTTGATCCCCCATATTGAGCATTGACATTTAATATGCGTAGATTAGGATCACAAATCTGAAATATGTATAAATAAATAAATACATAAATACATACATATATATATATATATATATATATATATATATATATATATATATATATATATATATATATACATATATATATATATATATATATATATATATATATATATATATATATCGAAAATCGGTCTTGCTCGACTTTCGGCATTTTCTTGATGTGTTGGGTAAGGTTTGAACATAAAATGGGTGTTTGGTTTTGCCTGTAGGTCTTATGTCTTTAAGTTTATTGCTGAAATTCTGAGCGGATTCAATACGTATAAGCTCTTTTAAAATAGTATTTAAAGTTTGGATCTGCTTAGAGAGTAGTAAGTACTCAGGACTAACTCTGTTTCCAGTGCGATGGAAGATCTTCTTCAAATCTTTTTGCGATTGGTGTTTGATAGCTAGTACACGTTGGACTTTGTCGGAAAATGGTTGTTTACCTTCCTTCACTAGTATTTTCTGAGAGTGTTGAGCATGAATTCGAATAAATTCGGTGTTAAAATTACCTATTAAAGCATCTATCTCATAATTTTCAATACTTCTGTTTGATGTGAAGTGTTGAGGTTGTTTTAAAACAAGGTTCGAACTATCAAGATTATGGACGAGTTTAATTGGGAAATGATCTGAAAACGTTGCAATGGTGTAGGTGTTGAAGTTGGGGTTACTCATATTTAGTAAATGTCCGTTTGGATACGATGGCGCAGAATCACAAAGGCGTGTGACTTCTAAAGTGTTATCATCCAGCCAGGATCGTAGTACTCTTCCATTAGAGTTATCTTGTAAGTCACCCCAGTAGTGGAATTCTCTAATAATTTTTTCTATCGAATCGGTATCGTTCAATACCGAATAATGTCGGTTGAGATACCGATTGTGTTATTCTATAAATACAAGTAACCGACGGAAAAAATCGATAGCATTTACCGACGAATATCGATGGAATGACAAGTGTCAAAAAAATATATGTCAAATTCTTATTTGAAAATGGATAACATGTAAGTATAACAAAAAAAAATAATTTTATTTTCTAACAATTTTACTGTTTTTAGGAAAAAAACACGATGTCCCAGGGCAAGCATGGCGCAACACGCAGCGCTGCTCAATTTTCTGGAGTCAGAGAAGGGTTTGGCCGAGGGAAAGTTTGTGGCTATGCATGGGAAGGAAAGTGCAAGAAAAAAGTGGTTAGAAATTGCTGAAGAACTAAATAAAATCCTTGGAGCGGTAAAAGCTCCAGAACAGTGGCAAACGGTAAGTTCAATATTTTCTTTACGCTTCCTATTTAAAAAAAATTATTATTTTTTTAGGTTTGGCGCGACCTCAAGTCTAAAACCTCATCAAAATTTAAGACCTTAAAAAGGGAAAGAAATGCCACTGGTAATATGCCGCTTACAAAGGGATTCCTCAACCCTATCGAGGAGAGAGTAGTAGCCATAGTTGGATGGGAATACATGATGGGTAACATAGAATGTCCTGACAGTCTGGAAATTGAAGTGGTATGGTTTCAGTACATAAAATGTTATTTTATTCAATACATACATGGCACTGTATTCCAGGAAAATAATCTTAACGCATTAATAAATGAAGACACAAGCCAACATGATATAAACACCAACATGATATAAACATGAGGTGCAAGTCTTGGAGGATGAGATTGACGCATTACAAAATCACACTTCTTTCAAACATAGCACACAAGAAATCGACAAATCCTCGTATAATAAACGTCTGAAGAAAGACAGCAACAACAAGGAAGAGTTTTTGAAAATAGCCAAAACACGAGCTGAAGCATTATTGGTAATGCTTTCAGTAGCTTTCCTAAAATATGTTAATTTCTTATAGTTGGCATCTTATATTCGTGCCTTCGAAATTCTTACTTAAAATATCATTTCTATTTTGATTCATATCATATTGTTTCTGTATTTCTTTTAGATCCTTGCCAATGCCCAAAAGGAAACTGCACAGGCAATGGTTAAAATATTGGAAAACTTTGCGTTTCTTGGTGAAATTTTAGCGGCTCAAAATAGAATTGAAAATTGTGTCAATATTATCGATCGGCGCTTAACAAATAATGAGAAATAAGTGCATAGCAACCTATGCATATTTTACGATTTTATATACTGTAACAATTTTTCTATTATAAAATTATTTTATGTGCTTAAGATACTATGTACATGTGTAAATATCAGAAATGTAAAAAAATAATTTTAAATAAAGTCCTGCCAAAATAACGTTTTGGTTTTTTGTTTAAATTTATCTATATATAAAACATTTTAGTTATAAGGATACTGACGGATTCATTAACGCCCAGGCAAAACGGGTGAAGCTAGAATCTTCAAACTTTGGTCAATGTTGGTTTGTAGGTGTGAGATAAGACTAGGTTTTTCGAAATTGGGAATTTTAAATATTTGTTTTGCACAAACGGATAGAGCTGTACTTCTGAAATTGGTTATAAATGATCTATGATGAGGTGGAGGATAGATGTACCAAAGGTTTTTTGGAAAATCGAACTACAATACACTCATAGTATGAAAAGCATTAAATTCTGTACCATTTGGCATTTGTATGCGAACGGATAGTGCAAATATATCGACATTTGGGATAAGAATTATGTTTGGTAGGTAGGGTTGGTATAAGGAGAAAGTACTGAATGGTACTAACTTCGATATTGCTTGAACGGATAGTGCTTTAAATTGGACTTTAAGGTGACTGTTAATGTGTAAGATTTGAGTTGGTTTTGGAAATACGTACTAGAAACAACGAAAAGTACTCAATAGGTATAGAGTGTAGGAATAGAGCTGGAATTATGAATTTTGGTATGATAATAGTACTGAATGATACTAAATTTCATATTAAATTTTGTGTACCTTGAACACAAAAGATAAAATACCCTTTTGCAAGAAAATCAAAACTGTGTATTATTTAAAGTTTTAAAGAGTCAGTTAAACTCCTTTTTAATATATATTTCATTGAATTTATGAAAAATATTGTGTTATAATTTGATTCTGAATTCGGCGAGCTACCGATAATAGGAACCGGCCCTCTGTTTCATATTCCCCGTCATTTATTATAGGCTCATATTGAAAAACATTGTCTTGAACAGGCTCCCCATATTGGCACTTCATGTTGTGTAAGACTGTAGACGCACACACCCTGTGACGAGAAAGGCACCTCCATGTATTTTTCATAACACCGAATGCCCTTTCAATACCGTTTCTAGTTTTGCACAAAACTTCATTATATGCAAACCTAGAAGTGCCGGCCGTCTCATTGGGTAAAGGGTTCATTAGCCATGGCTGTAACGGATAACCCATGTCACCTAAAATATTCTTCATCATATTCATATTAAGTACTCATGGTTGCATTCATTCATACAATAAAAAAGTTCTCCTTTCGCCATGATTAAACGCATTTTCCAGCAATGTTCTAGCAGGACTAGAACCCCAAATGAAGCTGTCGTCTTGATCCCCCATATTGAGCATTGACATTTAATATGCGTAAATAAATAAATAAATAAATATATATATATATATATATATATATATATATATATATATATATATATATATATATATATATATATATATATATATATATATATATATATATATATAGATATATATACTTCAATCGGTCTTGCTCGACTTTCGGCATTTTCTTGATGTGTTGGGTAAGGTTTGAACATTTAACGAGTGATAGCCGTGATGATTCACGTATGCTCCTACATTTCTAGCTGGAGCTAATATTGCAACATGAGTGCAATCAATAGCTCCAATACATCCTTCAAAAGGGTACAGACAACTACGAAATGTTTCCTTCATAATGTTTCGTTCGTACGTGGTTTTGGGAAATTTGACCCACTGCCGTAATACAACTTGATTTATACTATCGGTAACTCCATGTAAACAACGACTGACAGATGGTTGGCTCAGGGAAATGCCCCATTGTTCGCCAACTGACCTTTGAAAACTACCAGTAGCAAAAAAACGTATTGATGAAAGCACCTAACAATATATTTATTTGTTATTAATGTAAAAACAATTTCCGAAATGACAGTTACCATCTTTTCTGGTTTTATTCCCGTTATCCTGGAAGATTCCAAATTGCTCCCGATAGCACATATTATATCATAAATTGTATCCTTCCTTAAACGATACAGTTTTTTAAATTCTTGATCAATTAAATCAAACGGGTCATCCACATTTCGCGGAATTCGCCTTTCTTGAGCACGAAAATTTATTTCCGCTTGATTTTCCAAATCCATGGCAATAAGTTTAAATGCCATTTTTGAATGTTGAATTTTATTTAAATTATTGTTTTAAAAAGAACGTTCCTTCGTGTCGGTAGACTTACCAACTACTTTTTTTGGTCGGTAACTAACAAACGATTTTCGGTAATTACCGACACAATTGTCCAACAAAAATCGATATTTTTGCATACAGAATAGCAATTACCGACAAATGTTGCTATCTACCAACATTTGTCGTTAATTTCATCGGTAGGCAGTTACAGAATCGCACTACAGGAGATGTTTTTGGAGTTGAGGTCGCCGCCTCATTCATCGAAATTGTTGCATAGTTGGAGTATTTTGCCCAAATTTGGTTCAAGACTGTTGACTGGATAGTTGAAGGGTATATATACGGAACCTATTAGACATCTCAAAAGACCGCTATTTCTGGAAAACTGTAATTGTAGAAACGTTGCGTTTATGGCAATATCATTAATGAAGATTCTTATAAAATTAATGTTGTTTTTTTACGGCAACAGCAACACCAATGGGGGAATTATCGGTAATAAAGTTGTATCCGTCCAAATGTATCATTGAGTTCTTGCGCAAGTGACTTTCCTGAATGAAGGCAAAATCTATATTTTCTTTGTGCAGAATATTTCTTAGCTCAATTTGTCTACTTGCATCAACAAGTGAGCGCACATTGAATGTTAAAATTTTGATGCGATTATGGGCCATATTTAGCTCTAACTTACGTCTTTGGCATGTTCTTGTATTCATTTAAAAACTTTTGTACTTCCTGTTCCAGAGTAAGTTCTTCCGGATCCAGGAAGAAATTGGCTAGCTTTAAAAACTCTTGGATAATTGGTAAATTAGAGGTGTTTTCTACACTAGTAATTTTTGGTTGGAAAAAACTAGAAAATAACTTGCCTGGCGAGATAAGAGACATATTTAAGGCTTTCCCGACGTTGTGCTCATGGTACAATGAAGAGAAGGTAGGCGAACTTTGAAAAAATTGCAAGTATAGAAGTCTATAGAAGTTTGGCTTGTAATGTCAGAATTAGTATCAAAACAATAAAAAATCAAACAACTTGTTGCATGGCAGAAGAATACAGGTAGATGCATCAACGCTTGGGAGCATTGATATGTCAATAAAATTCAAAATTTTTTCAAATATAAGTAGATTTTTATATGTTTTCTTATACTACGTCATTCGAAGGCTATTATAATTCGCGTTTTTCAACAATTTTTACAAATTTAAATAATTTTTCATTCAACATTTTCAATTCCAAAATTGCTTTGACAGTTCATTGTCCCAGCAGCTGTGTCGACGCGTCTACCTATATTCTTCTACCTTGAACTTGTTGCATTTATTTTGAATAAATAATTGAAAAACGCAATAACTGAATGAAAGGTCAACACTTCTTTTTAAAATTGTGTACTATATATCTAAAGGATTATTTCGCTACAAAAACTATAGATTTTGTCGATGCATACGTTGAAATAAACATTTTAAAAACACCCGAATTAGAATATTTTCTGAAATTTTTTTGTTATTGAAAAGAAAACACATACATTAACAAATAAAGATGACATATTAAGCCAAGAAAATAAAAAAATTAAAATCATATGGTATCATAGCCCTACCTTGATATCATTGTATCATGATTGTGCTGTTCACTCACCTATCTTTGGAGCATTGTAGAAGAATACAGGTAGATGCTTGGAAACATTTGATATGTGAAACAATCTTAAATGTTTTTTCAAATATAAGCAGATTTTTATATGTTTTCTTATACGACGTCATTCGGAGGTTTTTATAATTTGCGTTTTTAACAATTTTTACAAATTTAAATAATTTTTCATTCAACATATTCAATTCCAAACTTAAGCTGGCCATAGACGAACGATTTGTTGGTGTGATTTGCAAATTTATTGCTGCGATTTATTGCATATCGTTTCTCCACACACGCTCGAACAAATCATAATTCGGCCGACATTGAAGAGTAAGCATATGCTACGAAGCGGATGATGTTCATTTTGTGTTTGAACTTCGGTTTGTGCTTCTGTTTAAATTTTGTGGCAGAAAATTTTTTATTTAACAATTGGTTTTTTCTGTTGATAGGAAACTTAAAAAAACATGTGCGACGATGCAGCGGCTGATGCAGCTGCGCTTTTAATTATATATACTTGTTTCGACATGGAAAATAAAAAACAAGAAAAGAAAAAAATCGAAAAAAAAAGAAAAAGAAAATTGAGTGAATAGTGGCTGCTCGAAAGAAAAAAGCATTCCCATGTAGCAACGCTCAAAAATATGGAAATGCTTACTGTGTCTCTTGGTCGAGCAAAAAATTAAGATGGTCAAAATACCACAGCGATGGCACGTACATATCCTCAGCACCTGCACCTGACCTTTCGCTTTTGCCCATCTTCTGAAGCTCCCTTCTGTACGTTGTTCGTAGGCAATTATATATTTTTTTTTACTACGTCCACTGAAGCATTTTTGTCAACCTCTTTCCATTTTGTTACGAGTTTTTCCCATGATTTTTGTTTTTCTAATTTGTCTTTATATTTTTCACTTTTTGTTTGCCAAATGGCATTTTCATTTTTTAACACATCAAAAAATTCTATCATAAAGTCTTTGCTTGCCATTTTTTGTGTGCACTACACGACCTTTCGTTACAATGGTTGAAGAGCAACTGAAATGGCAAAATGGCTTAAAATTTGCGCAGTAGCCCACACACGTATGATTTGTTTGCCAACAAATTGCAAGTTTTTGAAAATTTTCAAAAAATTGCAATTTGTTTGCAAACTACCCCACAGACGTAAAAACGCGACCACAAACCCAACAAATTGCTCGAATTTATCGTTCGTCTATGGCCAGCTTTTGTTTGACAGTTCATTGTGGCAGCAGATGTGTCGATGCGGCTACCTAAATTCTTCTACCATGCATTGCAGTTAGAACACACGATTGTATGTGTGTACGTTTACGAATGAATGGTACGTTTACACTAGGGATGATTAACTCACTGGGTTTAATAGATTCGGCGGGTTAACCCATGGTAGAAGAATACAGGTAGATGCAGCAAAGCTTGGGAATATTGATATATCAAAAATTTTAAAATGTTTTGTCACAAATAAGTAGATTTTTTATATGTATTCTTATACGATGCAAATTGGAGGTTGTTATGATATGTCTTTTTCAATTTACAAATGTAAATAATCCCCTTATTGTTGTTTTTATAAAAACAACGTTTGGTTAGTAGTGGAGAACGATAGTAATGTTTACCAGGGGGTAAGACAGAGAATACCTACGTTTCGGAAAGAGCCACCAATCCTCATCAGTTCCCTTGTCTTTTGTCTGGGATATTCTCTCCAGAAGTTATTTTAACAATAACTTCTATAACAAATAAACTTTTTTTACCCAAGTGACGAGTTTCTAAACTCAATAGAAGAGGAACCAAATAATTTTTTATTTAACATTTTCAATTCCAAAATTGGTTTGACAATTCATTGTCCCAACAGCTGTGACGATGCGACTACCTGTATTCTTCTAAACACGGTTTACCCATGGTAGAAAAATACAGGTTAGCTAAATCGACATACCATTTTATGCTACTATAAAAGGATAAGGAACTTAATTTTCAAAAATTCTGACAGTTTGGCAATTTGCATTTACCTGATCCACAACGGCATTTGTTTCAGAAATACGAAAATTTTACTGAGTTTTATTCAGTTTTGAATTTCTTACTATTTTTCTTATATTTTAGATTACGAGTTCTGTCATCAGTTTACAAATGTAATGGTTGGTCTGCCTCGCTGAATTCTAGGTCTTACAATACTCTCCGCTGTCATTGATGAAATTCTCACATTCGATACTCGACTTACCCCCATACATGCTGACCTTTGTCAACTAAGTCTTTAATCGAAGTGTTTGTAAGAAAATGTATTAAATATTTTTCAATTAAATCTTACATTTACTTCCAATCCCAATAGTTTTTTGGACGTTTTCATATGAAGGCTTCCAGAGCCAGATTCCCGTCCTGACCACCAGTGGAATATCAGAAATTTGAAAATTTTGTTCTACCAAAAACTGATTTGGAGAACATTTTATATTCCAAAATACTCGCAAGGGCTTCCACTATCATTTGGCATTCACAGTATTTGGACGTTTTTATATGGAGGCTTCCAGAGCCAGATTCCCGTCCTGACCATCAGTGGAATATGAGAAAATTGGAAAATTTGTTCTACCATAAAGTGATTTGGAGAACATTTTATTAGCCAAAATACTTGTAAGGGCTTCCACTTTCATGTGACATTCACAGTTTTTTTGACGTTTTTATATAGAGGCTTCCAGAGCCAGATTCCCGTCCTGACCACCAGTGGAATATGAGAAAATTGGAAAATTTGTTCTACCAAAAACTAACTTGGAGAACATTTTATATGCCAAAATACTCGTAAGGGCTTCCACTTTCATTTGGCATTCATAGTTTTTTGGAGGTTTTTATATGGAGGCTTCCAGAGCGAGATTCCCATCCTGACCACCAGTGGAATATGAGCAAATTGGAAAATTTGTTCTACCAAAAACTGACTTGTAGAACATTATATATGCCAAAATACTCGTAAGCGCTTCCACTTTCATTTGGCACTCACAGTTTTTTGGTCGTTTTTATATGGAAGCTTCCAGAGGCAGATTTCCGTCCTGACCACCAGTGGAATACGAGAAAACTGGAAAATTTGTTCTACCAAAAACTTATTTGTAGAACATTTTATATGCCAAAATGTTCGTAAGGGCTCCCACTTTCGTTTGGCATTCACAGTTTTTTGGACGTTTTTATATGAAAGCTTCCAGAGACAGATTTCCGTCCTGACCACCAGTGGAATACGAGAAAATTGGAAAATTTGTTCTACCAAAAACTGATTTGTAGAACATTTTATATGCCAAAATACTCGTAAGTGCTCCCACTTTCATTTGGCATTCGCAGTTTTTTGGATGTTTTTCTAGGGAGGCTTCCAGAGCCTGATTCCCGTCCTGACCACCAGTGGAATATGAGAAA